GTGATTGGATTGGTGCATGTTGTGTTGTAACGGAGAATCTTGCTTTTCCCTTTGTGTATATTGAGACCTACTGCTGCTGAGGCTGCTGTTACACTGGTCGTCTTCTCCTACATTTGTTGTCGCGTATGAGATAGAAGAGTCAGATCATCTGCTAAGTCTAGATCATCCAGCTACATCCTAGCCATCCACTGCATCCAGTGCTTCCCCCCAGATGTTGACATCTTCATGATCCAGCCCATCACTAGGAGAAACGGTAAAAGTAAGCAACCTTACATGATACCAGTCTTTACTTGAACGAGTCTGTGAGCTGTCCGACATGCACGATTTTGCAGTGTAATGCATCATAGGAATTCCGTGGTGTCGAGAAAGTCTCCATGGTGTTGTCTTATCCACGCTATTAAGCGCTTTCTCGTAGTCAATAAAATCGCTGTAGAGTGATGAATTCCATTCAATTGATTGTTCCACAATGATCCGTCGTGTTTCGATTTGGTCTGTACATGATCGATCCTTATGGAACTCAGCCTGTTGGTCTCGAAGTTAAGCGTCTACGGAGTGCTTCATTCTGTTTAAAAATACCCTGCTGAAGACTTCCTGGTATCGAGAGAAGAGTGAGGCCAACGTAGTTTTTGGTGGAGTTTTGTACTCTGAGCTGGATGGTTTGGTCGTGGAGATTTCATCGTTCATCTGAACGACATCATCAGCACAAACTTCAGATAGAAGTGTAGTTATCACACTTGCTAGAGTCGCCTTTCTTTGGAATCCTGATCAGGTGTCCTCCTTTCCAGTCAGCTGGTACTCGTTTTTTACCACAAATCTTGCTAAAGAGAATGTGGAGTAACGTTGTGGTTACTGCTACATCTGCTTACAGTGACTGCTGGAATGTTGTCTGGTCCTGCCGCTTTGTGTCTCTTGATTTTCTGATGACCATGCTGATATCTTCAATTGTTGGCTGGCCAACATTGATTGGGAGGCAGGTCGGCTAAAGAGCAGTAAGACTAAAAGCAACAAACCCAAGGTCCGAAGGCGAAGTCGTACTGCTGACTGTACAGAGGTGTGACAGCAGTAAGGTGTTTCCTTCAGACTACCAGCATGACAGCGGTGCTGCCTTCCCACAAGTAGGGGTGGGGTTAGAAAAGGTCGACCCTAAAAATGCACACTTCGACTTATCCCACGGATATCCGTCTCCGGTGGTAAGATCCAAACAAGTAAGGAGGTAATACGAAAATTACCCACAAAAAGTTGTATGTGACCGACCTCGAGCAGTTGTCCCTTGGGCACTGCGGTAACATTCTGGAGTCACTAAAACCTCCTTTATTCCAATTTCCTTTTCAGGTACCTCCAGAAGGACCCCTCCACGGTGTAGGCTACCAAGAAGTGATAACCGCCCTCATACTTCTAACAGCATTCAAGACAACTGTATTCATAATCAACCCCTTCAATTCTTATCATTACTCCTACATCGAATTTCAACTCTAAACTTACTCTTTTGGCTTCCTCCTCAAGTGTCACCATAGCCAACGATTCTAGTGCGCGAAACACTGTCCCAGGTCTACTGAAACCTCGCTACAAACTACACATTGGAGCCTTCAACGTACGCACCCTATGTCAAATCGGTCAGCAGGCTTCCTTGGCTAAAACCCTAGAATCTCGTACCATTTATGTATGCTGTGTATCCGAAACACGCATACAGGATCCTAGTGTGGTCATTCACTTGACCTCACCTCGCCAAAACGGAGAGCCGACGAGACACACTATCCGTGTATCTGGCGACTCCATGGCTGATTCTTGTGGACTGGTAGGTGTGGGCATAGCACTAAGCATGAGGGCAGAACAAGCACTGTTAGAGTGGATGCCCGTTAACAGTTGTCTATGTGATGTTCGGCTAAACGACTCCGTAAGAACTCGGAAGGATATGGACACACGTCGTTGCCTTTTCGTCGTTTCTGCCTACGCTCCCATTGACTGAAGCCCGGATGAAGTAAGAGATGACTTTTACAGAAAGCTCTCTAAACTGCTTCATAAAGCTAAGCGATCAGACATAGTACTCATAGCAGGGGACCTTCATGCTAAGGTAGGTAGCTGAAACAAAACAGAAAGACATTTATTGATTGAGATCATGAACCGATTGATGTTGGACCACCATTGAAAACGTGCAAGCACTGGACGGCCGTTTCGTTCTATTGTGGGACTCCTCAGCAGTGCGCATCCACGATCCCGCTCGCGTGATCCGAATCCAAGGACTTCAATCTTGCGCGCGAACGCTTAACCTTTTAGGTGGGTATTTCGGTATTCCGGCACAGCGAAGAGATAATGATGGTCGTCTGCTGCAACTGCGCTCAGACAATCGTTTATTTTTAGCAAACACTAATTTTAGGCATAAGGAGAGACATTGTCTAATATGGCGACCCCCTACACCAAACCAACGATAGACTCAAATAGACCATATTGCCATCAGTCATCGCTGGAGATGGTCGATAGAAGATTGTCGCTCATTCTGGTGTACCTGCTTGGACTCCGACCATGCTCTAATACGGGTACGCATCTGCTCGCGACTCACTGGACGCAAAAAAGCCACAATAAAAAGACCCATTAGAACTGAATTGAGTGGTGAGAAAAATAAAAGTAGGTTCCAGGAACAACTGAGGTCACACATAAGTAGTTCTGAAAACGAGGCTGATCCAGATGTTGCTTGGAAAGATATTAGTGATTTAAACCAAAGGGATACAAAGGTCTATTGCACTGATAGATTCTCGCAAACTCATCCCATCAGGTTCTGAACACGATGTAATGCGTAAGCAAATCAGATCAAGATTAAGCAAATATCTAAGAAACGGCCGTGAGCAGTGGTGGACAACGAAAGCAAAACAGATGGAAAATGCGGCGGCTGTAGGTAACACCAAGCGGCTTCTCAGACTGATAAAATAAACCGGGATTAAGAAGCCAAGTGTGAGAAAATCCCAACTGACTGGTTGCAAGCACTGATTGTCCCAATGTATAAGAACGGGTCAAAACCATCCTGTGATAACCGACCGTAGAGGAATTAGTTTAAGTAATATAGTATCTAAAATACTAGCTTCCATAATTATCGGACGCCTAACTAAAACTCGTAAGCTGCAATCACGAGAAAATCAGCCCGGTTTCAGACCTGGTCGTGGCTGCATCGACCACATATTCACCATTCGCCAGACTCCAGAACACAGGGATGCTTATCGGTGTCCACAATGATGGTCTTCCTTGACTTAGAAGCGGCATTTGACTCTGTAAACCGAGAGGTGCTGTGGCAGTGTCTGTCATTGAAAGGCGTACCTCAAAAGCACATAAACCTCGTCAGGGCTCCTTACTTAAACACTACCAGTCCAGTGAGAGCTTATGGAGAACTGTCATCTGATTTTACAACCTCAAGTGGTGTCCGGTAAGGCTGTCCACTATCTCCATTTTTGTTCAACTTCATCATAATCCTACTGCTGGAAATAACGTTCTCGTCGTCTGAATTTTTGGGGATTGATCTCCTACAGGGAGGTTCACTTATCGACTTAGAATATGCAGACGATAGTCCTGTTTGGTGAAGACTCTGAAAAATGCAGTCTTGGTAGCACTGAGCAACAATGCCAGAATGTTTGGTATGCGTCTCTCCCCTTCTAAATGCAAGTTGCTCCAGGACTGGCCTATGTGAACACCTGAACTGATGATAGGGAGTGAAGTAGTCAAACGCTTTGACAACTTCACTTATATTATCTTGGAAGTTTTATCAGCCCTAATGGGTTGGTGTCTGACAAAATCACTGCACGGATTTGGCTTTTGCCAACTTTTGTCACCTATGGCGAAGGCGAAATACCCGTCTATCAATTAAAGGAAGAGTATGCTACTCAGTAGTTAGTTCTGTTTTACTTTACGGTTGCGAAGCGTCTCTATTAAAGGTAGAGGATACTCGTTAGTTACCATTATTCGATCTCAGGTGTCTTAGAAATATTGCTCGCATCTGATGGGAACACTGAATAAGTAGTAGTGAGGTAAGACGCAATGTATTAGGGAATGATGGTAAATCAGTTGATGAGGTTGTGGATCTCCAGCGGCGCGCAATGCTGACTCATGTTAGAGACATGGCAGAAAGTTAGGGAAGACTAAACCAAAACGCGGTATCAGTTCATAAAGTCACTGACTTTTGATCTGAGCCATGTTGGTAGATACAGGCTACTTGAAGTCCGCGTGAATATCGTAATGAATGTTTGGAGACTCTGAGTGGCATGGCTCAAAACGGATCACAATGGCGTAGGTGTATATACTCTTTGTCTCCCCTTAAACCGTGGGATTGAAATCACATCATATTTTTCTTTCTACGAACTAATTTTTTTTCTGTACTACATCCTTACAGAGGACCATTCTTTTATATATTACAACCATTGAGTTGACTGCTTCTATGAATCTGGTGTTCGTGTTGCCGTGCTAATGAGGTACGGCAACTTGGACTGATGCACATATGTGCCTGGTCCTACGTTGTAGCTGACTGACCAGCCAGAGATGATCTGAGGCTATGCCAACTAGTCTTAGTTTTAACATCCTCCATAGTCCTCCTGAACTTTTTATTGATGCAGATATTGCCGATTTGGCTCTGTGTAATGTGATCAGGTGAAATCCACGTGTCTTTGTGTATGAGTTTATGTGGGAATATCGTGCCGTCTAACTTTTTGCTAGTGTGTATTTAAAAAAATCTTAAAACTATATATACATAAGTAGGTAATCTGCGACTGCACATAGTAATACTATCGGATGCAATCTAAATATGCTGTTTGCGTAAAAAGCATAAATCGCAGAATGATCGACTTAACTGTTATAACGTCTTTATGCAGGTGGAATTCTACAACTCACTAAAGAACAAAATCAATTCGAAAAGTCACCACGAAGATCTGGACTTCGGTCTGTTATTCAAGTAAATGACTTTTCACATAGCTAGGAGACTGTGGGTAACAAGGATAATATAGCGATATAAAAAACCAATAGTGACAAAGTAGGCATTTATTTCATAAAAAGCCAAGTTTAATACAAATAGAATGTATTGCAAAAATGTCCATCACGAAAAAAGTACTATTCACTACGATCCCATGTTTAAGGACGAACTTAGATAAATCACAGCGGGGGAAAGTATGTAAATGAGCTAGTAAGAAAATCAATAAAGATTAAAACAGATAATACACAATCAAATACCTTCACGATATAAAGAAATACCAATTCAGTAACTTTATGTATATAAAATTCTATCAGAAATATGTTGATAGGAACACATAGCTAACTGGATGAAGAATATTATCCTCTATTAGATCAAATGAAACTAAGCTATTACAAATGATTGATCACTGGGTGGTGATCAATGTCATGTGAGTCAAGTCCTTGTTAGTGCAGATCGAATGCTATCGACCAAGTTGCAATGTATCCACCAGTCTAGGTGACTCGAAACTGCGTGCACTATGTTGAGATAAGCATTGGAAATTCCAGTATTTTGGACGCATGACGGATACTACAACAAAAGCAAGTTTTCAAGCAAAGTTAAAGGAAAAGTCAGTCAAGCTTTGGTGCTGATCATAGATCAACATATTTTCTACAGATTCTTCTCTCTAATGTTCCTCGTGAACAATTAAAACAAGATTTAAAATCCTAATTTCTCCTTGTTGTTAGCTGAAAAGTGAAGTTGATTATGATTATCTGATGTTTGTAGTTTAACCTGAACTACTTACGTTTTGTATGTGTATATAAATAGAAGAAACAGAAAAATATGTACACTAAGATAATTTCACAATACCGATAAATCACTCCACTTATTTTGGAAATTTCATCAACCCTAGTGGGTTGGTATCTGACAAAACCTCAGTGAGTTATGTCACCTGTGACGTAGTCAAGATGTTCATATTCTAATCAAAGAACAGTTTTACTAAGCACCAGTTCGCTCTGTTCTACTCTATGGGTGAACCACAGCAATCAACAGTACATGATATTCGTAGGTTACTATTATCCGATCATTAATGTCTTCAAAGTATCGCTCCTATATTTTGGGGATAACTAGTGGCTAAATCTGAGGTTTGGCATAGGATACTAAGTCACGATGGCGAAACGGTTGATGAAGTAGTGAATCGTCACCTTCTGGAGTAGTTAGGAAATGTTTACCAGGGTTTCAAGTATTAGATCGTGATCAGAGCGAAATTCAGTGTAGTCACGCAGTTAAATGATCCAGTATTGTTGTGGAAATGTCCATTTAGAGTCCTAAATAGTCATTATTTTATATTTGTTTGCACTCATCAGGAAAAGATGTAAAAGGAACTGATGGAATAGATGCCTTCAGAAAGATCCACATCCCAGTCAATCGGCATTGAAGTTATTCCCAGCCCATTCAGATAAATATTCCGAGTCTATGTTTTTCTGTCAGTCGGTCATAAAAATATGAGTATCAGTTTCGTGTAAGCTGGCATTATACGCTAAGAATATGAATGTATCAATGACATATCGCGATGAAATCTTACACTCATATTTGCTTTGCGTATGGATTTCCATTTCGTAAAACCGACCATTTATTGACACATATAGATGAATTAAATGGTAAAGGATTTAAGTTCAACTTTGTCTTATTTTTTGTGCCAGAAATACATGGTAAAAAAAAACAGGTTGATTTATTGTCATTTGTCTCCTCTTTTGAGATTGCTTTAATGCCTCTCAAAGTTTCAACTTGTGCAAACGAACTCGAACCAAGAATAGGTGCGTACAGATGATATGTAGATGTAATTGTATTTGCAACATTACGACTTAATTTCGAAGCACATACATTCCAATCGAAAGGATCAACAAGTGTTTCTAAACGAGAGGTGAGTTCTTGAATCATTGATTGAACACGTTTTGACGAGACATCCATTTGATTTTTCTTTAAAAAGAATAAAACAAATACTGGATGAAAAGACAAAATAAAATTTTATACTTTGAAGTATTGAAATGTGTGGGAGTATTTCTACTTGTCTAAAAAAATGCCATAATTAAAGCGATTTTGGAAACTCCAACTTATGGAAACTCTAGTGATCACCATTTTGAACTGAAATATAACATAGACGAATTTTCGACCATTATCTAACCGTTACGTTTTTGCTAAGGTTAGGGATTGATATAAAAAAATACTGGTAGGATTCGGACAAAGGTAATCTGATTGACTGAATAAAACTGATTATTGGAAACAAAGAGGGTATGCATGATTGTACATGTAGATTGAAGAGAAAAAATGAAAAAGATTAGTCGAACTCCCGAATCGTGTGCTCAGCAATGATGTGGAGCGGTGACCTAGTGTTTAAGGTGTCGATATTCAGTCACTAAGCCATAAAATCATGTTGTGCTTCACCCACTTCGATCTGGACACCCAGATAGTATCCCTAGTCCTTAAACATTAGGTATAGCTCAAAGCCAAGTAAAGGAAACTGAACTTGATTTGTATGTTTGACTACAATGTGATACGATAGTTCCATCCAACTTTGTCCTGAGCTATCCTTCCCAGTTCTAAATTATTGACTTACTTAAATTTATACATAAAAACGCCGGCTCACAAATATAAGTCAACCTAAAGAGAGAACATTTCACGTGAAAAAATTTTCAGGTTGTAAAATTTAACCTCTGTTAACTTTACGTATATAATCTAGTCAATTTTGCACATTTGTAACGTCCATTCAGGCTCCTATCACCCTGTAGATCTTTTAACTTCAACTGAAGAACACAATTAACTCCATTAATATCAGAAGCAAATGAAAAATCCAGTAAATTACACTGTGATTCACGTGTTTTGAAATACTTAAAACATCGTGGAAATTTATAATTGAGCGCTGAAATCTGGCGATTGTATTCCTGATCAGTTTCCAATGAAATCATTTGTGTGGTTAATGTTAGGAACTGACTATAGTTAAATTCCTCAAGTTGCTTAGTTAGTAAATCAAGTTGAATTTTAAACACCATTTCCTGAAACTAGTATAAATACCATGTTTCTTTAGTACGATTTCACTTCTGATCATTTCTATGCATAATTCCAAATGACTTCAAAAAAGATTTGCGGTCTTCATGCTTTAGTTTTCCCACCTCTGACGCATAACAATCAATCGTGCAGAATACTATTGACGATAAATTAAAAATTAATTGAAAACAGTTATACAACCTTCATATGAACATTTATTCAACTTGCCTGAGCAAGACTAGCTTCACTAACAGATACAGACGAAACTAATAAACGTTGGAGGAATTTTAAATCGAACATAATTTGTAAAGCCCGTGATTGCATCGACTTTTGCAAAGAATCCGAAAACCATATTGATGCTTCGTCTGTGCATTGAATTGATATATCTTGATGTAACAGCAATTCGTCAACAATACTGGAGTATATTTCAAATAATGAGGTGCATACTTTAGATAAAAATAGATGACTAAATGGTGATCTGTAAAGTGATAAAAGAGTGGAATGCAGATTATTAAGTATAAGTGTAAGGTTTGCAATCTGAACGCTGATCTGCAATTTCTCACATGATATACATTGCCAATCGTAGTTTTGTAATTAATTACTGGTCGTTAAGTATAACAGTAAGCATTTTGTTAAGGCAAGATTAAGACAGTTATCTCGACGTTATGAAGATCAATTACCAACAGGAAGTTTTGCGATTATAAATCTGAGTCAACGCACCCAGCTTATCAGCCTGCAGTGGCACTAGTTTTTTTTTCAGGAAGACATTTATATGTTGATATCCATGAGACTTAGACACGAATTAATGATGCGTAAATTCTACGAAACTCAGCCTGTACCTTTTATAGGGTTACTGATGTTCCCGAGCCCGGGTAAAGGCGGAGGGCTGGGCGCGGGGTCAGCATCCTCATCCCCTAGAAAACCACCTTGCTAAAAAACGCTAGCCACAATAAATAAATCTATCCAAACTCTGTCCCGGGAATTAAAGGACATTCTTTCAGAAGAATTATGACACCTCACGGTGAAAGCCGATATTCTTCGGAAGTCACGAGACCGATGATCATTCTAACAACCAGAGCAACAATTATTATAGGTACATGGAATGTTCAAACTATGTGGGAGGACCAATCAAATAACTGCGGAAATGAGGAGATACAATTCAATGGTGCTCGGGATAAGTGAAACCCATTTGATCCAAGATGCGCACAAACACTTGGCTGTGTCCAGGATGAAACTGAAACTAAAGAAGCACTGGACAACTAGAGAAATGGCATTACAACGTTTAAGACAGCCTTCCTTCAAGATACTGACAAACTCAACGAATCCAAGATGGTATTCAACAACAGGTTCCAAGTTTGATTTCTTACTACAATGAAAACGCTTGTAAGTTAAAAGAAGGTATGTCTGTCATTTTATTTACATTATAGCGAAAATCCCTATTTTGACATTTAATAAAAAGAAAAATTACTTTTAATATATATGTTGTTGAATTTCACTGAAATCATAAACCGATCCCGGTTTCGAAATGGCGATCTAACATTGATCTATTCATGATTTCAATGACAAGAAATTTCTTCACATTATTCTATTTACAGTTACTATATTGTACCAACTGGTTTGCAATCCTACCCTGAGAGATATTCACGGTCTCAATAATATATATGCTGTACTAGTATATTCTATTTTATTATAACACATAGATATTGGTACAAGGAGGCACCAAATACATATGCGCCACACAAATCTCATTTGATATGTGTCAGGGCTGTGATACTCCCTGGGTGCCCAAACCAAAGCAGGTGGTTTTCTTAGGGGGCCACACCCGGAGACTTTGACTTAAAGGTTTAATACACAAAGCAGTGGAACAACATCAGGAAATGCAGTACCATGGTAGCTGGTGACCAACGATTGGTTCATACGCCATTTGTTCCCGCAGGATCCTGGAGCTTATGGACACCATTGGTTTGGAATCAGGGTTTTCCAACTCCCCTAGGTGGACTCTCCATGTCCACCAACCCGGTTAAAGCGCCGGACATTTGCTTTTTGTCCTCTCATTTCCGTAAACAGCACCCCCGCCACGAGAAGGTAGTGAGTAGGACTTCCCCGGCAGAGGATATATACGCGTGGCCATGTGAGAGCATTTCGAGAGGGAGAGCGGACTCTTCCCACTCTCGGTCGTACTAGGGCATTTAGGGGCAGTATACGAAGTAAAGAATTAAACAATTAATTCATTTCAGTAACTAATTATAATTCCTATGTACTAGGTCTTTGTATACAATTACTGTGTGTAGTTTACACATAATTTTAGCTTACAAGTGTCAAAGTATTTCCCCAATTATAGGCTGAGCCTCTACATCACTAAAAGGCAGCTATACACAACAGAAACTACAAAAAGAGTAGGCTTTATCAACTTTAGTTATATCATGTTGATATTTCTAGTAAAAAACTAATTGTCTTTAGAGAATTAATTAAAATTATGAAGAGGTTAACAAGTACTTAGGTCAAAACTTAGACTTTACAAGTTTCCAGTGAGCTTTTACAACAGCATACATATGCCCTTCTAATCAATAAGCTATCGAAGACTACATTTATGAATGACAGTTTAAATTTTTTGTATTCAATCTAGCTTTCATTTAAATTAATAAACGAAATTGAATATATAAATGAAGACAAAAAAATTTACACAATTCAACATAAGAATTTAGAACGTACAAGTAAACATAAAAATTAACTGATAAACGAACTATAAGTGAACAGACAAAAAACACTTACGGAAGTGATTTATGTACAACAAATTTTCCCATTGTATAAACAATATTTAAAAGTAAATGATGAGTTGGTAGAGAAAGTTGTGAAGGTATGCGCACAACAGCAGACGAATTACCATCAACATCTGTGAGTTCGGAAGAATGTAATTCAAGTCGAACTTCTTCAAAAGGCTAAAAATGAAATGATTTCTTAAATGATAAATATATATGAAATAGGTATTGGACTCATTAAAACATTATCCAGCAGTCAATCTAAGACACTTATGGTTTAAGTTTCGAGTTTAAATTATGCAACTCACAAAGTATTGTTTGTTTCTCGAAACATTTGTGGTTAACGGATGAAGAGTGAAAGACAAAAACTACCATGTCCCGAACAGCCTCATAACAGTGATGGGAAATCAAAAAAGGAACAAAAGTACAGTATGTGCCTGACGAAAATACAAATTTAAAAATAAGATGTGTAATTCGGGAATGAAGAAAAATTAATGTATAAGCCCTTTAAGGCGTGATTGATAAAGAATTATTATTATTAGACCTTTAGGTCTGGGCACCCGGGAAGTATCGCAGCCCACACGCAATTAATGAACTGAACTGTCTATGATCATGGAAACTAATTCTCTTGCTTCGACGAACATTCAAATGATTCAATTATTATTATTGCTATTATTATTATTATTATTATTATTATTATTATTATTATTATTATTATTATTTACTACGTCATTATTCACCCTCTTTTATTCCTACTCTGTCTATACTTTTTTTTCGACTTATACAGCAGCTCGTCTATGGTGGAAATTCGACTGTATCTAAACGTTCTCGAGTCACTGTCCGGTTGAAAATTGTATGTTACCACCAAATATGAGTACTGAAGCAGTTTTTCTGAAACCACGTGCGCCATTCAAACTGGCTGCCTTCAACGTTCGCACACTTATGCAGGTCGGACAACAGATAGGGCTGGCTATGTCTTTAGAAAGTATTAATATCGATGTTTGTTGTCTATCTGAGACCCGTATTCAAGACTCTGATGAAGTACTACAAATTCGATCTCCATCTGTCGCTTCAAAAAGCTTGTTTTACGTGCGCTTGTCCGGGGACCCTGTGGCATCTTCGTCTGGTCTTGCTGGCGTTGGCGTCGCACTAAGCGCTAGAGCTGAGGCAGCACTAATCAACTGAATCCCCATTAACAGTCGGTTATGTGCTGTTAGATTAGAAAGTTCCGTCAAAGTGAGAAGAAATCGGCGTGAGAAACGATGTCTTTTCGTCATCTCCGCCTATGCTCCGACAGATTGCAGCCCGGATGCAATCAAGGATGAGTTTTACCACCAGTTAACTGTTCTTCTCCAGAAAGTGCGTCCGACAGATATTGCAGTACTAGCCGGAGACTTGAATGCTCAGGTCAGGCGTCTAGGCACAGAAGAGAGTCGTTTAGGTGGCCGATGGGGACTCGTTGGTCGCAGGTCAGATAACTGGGACCGTCTACTGCAACTGTGCACAGACCACAACCTGTATCTGGCTAGCACTAACTTTCGGCACAGTCATCGCCGATGTGCCACCTGGCGTCCTTCCTCTGCATCCCAAGCCTGGACTCAGATTGATCACATCGCGATCAGCTACCGCTGGCGTGGTTGCGTACAAGACTGCCGTTCCTTTTGGAGTACCCCTCTGGACTCTGATCATGCCTTGGTCTGCGCCAATCTTACCTTACTTTTCAGTGGCCAACGAAGTGACCGCCATCAACGGATTGATATTAGCAAGCTGTTTGCAACTTCTGTTGCAAGTAAGTATCGAACCGAGCTAGCCTCTAGGCTAGCTACCATTCCACCGAAAAGTATAGATAAGCATTGGTTGCAATTGCATGACGCCATGAAAATGGCGGGAACAGTCAGTTGTGGGTTTGCGAAACGTCCCGCTTTTAAGCACTGGGTTTCTTCTGGTTCCTTACAACTCATTGAAGCCCGTCGGTTTACTCCGGGTGACCGTGAGTTTGACCACAAACGAAGGTTGTTACGTAGTGAAATTGGGCAAAGCTTGCGTAAGGACCGAGAAGCCTGGTGGTCGATGCGTGCTAATGAGCTGGAAGCAGCAGCTGCATCTGGTAATTACCGGAAGCTCTTCCAACTCATCCGAGCAACTGGCAGCAAGAAGTCTGGTGTGAGTGAAACAATCTGCGAGGATGATGGGATGCCAATCACTAACATCCATCGACGTCTTGGACGATGGGCAGAATTCTTCGAAGGGCAGTTCAACTGGCCTACTGCCTCGGCAAAATTGGTCGGACTGTCCTGCTCTCCATGGCCGGTGACGACTGATCCACCAAATGAGGCGGAAGTCCGCAAAGAATTCCAACTCTCGAAGCGTTACAAATCACCTGGCCCAGATGACTTACCTCCGGCTCTTTTTAAAGATGGTGGTGACTTTCTGACTAAGGGACTGACGACGTTGTTTACAAAAGTCTGGGAACTAGAGAGTGCACCAACGTCATGGAATGAGTTCATAGTTGTCCCTATCTTTAAAAAGGGTTCACATCGTTTCTGTAACAACTATCGGGGGATAAGTCTACTTCCGATTGCGTCCAAGCTATTGGCTTTAGTCATACTTCGTATGTTGTTCAAAACCCGAGAAAGATTTACTCGCGAGGAGCAGGCTGGGTTTCGTTCTGGTCGAGGATGTATTGATCATATCTTCACCCTTCGCCAAATGTTAGAACATCGCCATACTTATCAAAGGCCAACAATCGTAGTGTTTCTTGACATCAGGGCTGCCTTCGATTCGTTGGACAGGACTGTTCTCTGGGATTGTCTATTGAAGAAGGGTGTGCCTGAGAAGTTTATTAACATCCTAAAAGCCCTGTATACAAACACCTCAGGCAGAGTGAGGGCATACAACCACCTCTCTTCATTGTTCTGTTCAAGCAGTGGGGTTAGGCAGGGTTGCCCAATCTCACCATTCCTCTTCAACTTTGCCTTCGATGACATTCTGGAAACAGCTCTGATGGATGTAAGTAATGGTGGTGTGGATCTTTTGCCTGGAGAAAAACTTCTCGACCTTGAGTACGCGGACGATATTGTCTTACTGTGCGATAATGCCCAAGGCATGCAATCCGCACTTAATCGGTTGGCAATCAGTGTCCGTAGGTATGGTATGTGCTTTGCACCTTCGGATTGCAAAGTACTCCTACAAGACTGGCAGGATTCCAATCCTGTACTCACCCTGGATGGTGAGCAGATAGATGTAGTCGAGAAGTTTGTGTATCTGGGTAGCTGCATAAGTGCTGATGGGGGTGTGAGTGATGAGATTAATACACGTATAGTGAAAGCCAGAGAGGTTTATGCCAATCTGGGCCATCTTTGGCGCCTTCGTGATGTTAGTCTGGATGTAAAAGGTCGGATCTACAACGCGTCGGTGAGAGCAGTCTTGCTCTATGCTTGTGAAACCTGGCCTCTCCGAGTTGAGGATGTTAGACGACTCTCTGTGTTCGATCATCGTTGTCTCCGAAGGATTGCTGACATCCAGTGGCAAGACCGTGTCAGTAATGCAGAGGTTCGGCATCGTGTGTTCGGGCACAGAGACGATAATGCAATTGGTGTCACCATCTTGAAACACCGATTTCGGTGGCTTGGACATGTCCTACGAATGTCGTCCCAGAGAATTCCACGTCGTGCATTATTTGCCGGCTCTGGGACTGGTTGGAGAAAGCAGAGAGGTGGTCAGTATATGACATGGTGTCCTGGTATGAAAGCTGCAAAAAGCTGGCTTGTGTTGGTCCTTCACGACTCCCTTGTTGGGTTCCGAGAGATGGTACAACACAGTGGCTAGAGACGTTATTAGATATGGCTCAGAAAAGAAGCCAGTGGAGATCATGCTGTAACCTTCTTTTACTTTCTTCATAAAACGTGGTTTTATCTTCCTTAACTGAAATATTTCTTCAGATTGTACCCTTCTGTTCCCCTACTATTACTATTATTATTACACTAGCTTACACCAATCTCTTCGTTATTGTTTTTTTTATATCTTTTTACGTTCCCCACTTTTTTCTTCTTAAATTATCATTGTTTTGTGTGGCGCATATATATTTGACGCACTCCTGTACCAATATATATGTGTTCAAATAATAATAATATTTATTTTAACACATAGACATTGGTACAAGGAGGCACCAAATACATATGCGCCACACAAATCTCATTTGATATGTGTCAGGGCTGTGATACTCCCTGGGTGCCCAAACCAAAGCAGGTGGTTTTCTTAGGGGGCCACACCCGGAGACTTTGACTTAAAGGTTTAATACACAAAGCAGTGGAACAACATCAGGAAATGCAGTACCATGGTAGCTGGTGACCAACGATTGGTTCATACGCCATTTGTTCCCGCAGGATCCTGGAGCTTATGGACACCATTGGTTTGGAATCAGGGTTTTCCAACTCCCCTGGGTGGACTCTCCATGTCCACCAACCCGGTTAAAGCGCCGGACATTTGCTTTTTGTCCTCTCATTTCCGTAAACAGCACCCCCGCCACGAGAAGGTAGTGAGTAGGACTTCCCCGGCAGAGGATATATACGCGTGGCCATGTGAGAGCATTTCGAGAGGGAGAGCGGACTCTTCCCACTCTCGGCCGTACTAGGACATTTGGGGGCAATCGATAAAGGAACCCACCAAGGACAGTACTAAACGCGCACCATCACATTGAATCTTTTGGACCGTGTATAAATAGGACTTGTTTATTCACCAATCACGATATTTCATATTTGTTATAATCAATATTGAGTTTTGTTGACTAATTGTGCCGATGCCTCAGTTACTGTTTGATATGTTATCTCTATCGCTTTCTTTCCCTGTTTAATACTGCATAAATTGTTCTTTTGTAAACTAAGTGTTAATTTACGTTTTATAAACAGGAAAAGTTTATCAAGACAAGTAGTTTACTTGGCCTGACCTTGACCAAGCTAAGACTGTTCGGCAGCCTGGGGATTAGCTAAGAATTGCGTCTGTAGGTAATTGTTTCCTACAAGCTCTATTATTGTCCATTGTACAAAGTGGCGATAAACGTATTGCAACAAACAATAAAATTTAGTCACAAAAGCCAACAGTCTTCTTCATGGTTGATATTAACAGTCAATGTGTCAACGAATTGGCATCAATTTTTAATCTAACTATGAAAAGACACTTTACTTAGAACTTAATCCACATCCATAGTTTTTTTTTCAAAAATGTAGCCCGATTATTTCAATTAATAAAATATAACAATAGTTGGGCTATATTAACTGGCATTTTAGAGAATAGAACACTACGGACATTGTTTTTGACTCATAAATCCCCGTCACTATAATTATGATGATTGTAACTTAACGTATCAAAAACCTTATAAAGCTATGGTACTTAAGTTATATGACGAATGTTTCTGTGAAATAGGCAACAAAGTGTAGGCTAGTGTAAGTTACGAAAGTAATGGTAAATGAGAACAATAAATCTATATTTAAGAGTTCAACTGATCAGTGTTTGTTTATCCATTATTATCATTTATTATGCAGAAGTAATAATGAACATACAACATACAAAGTAGTGATTTTTTACTTACTATTATACCGCTCAGTATGGCATCTGTGTTAGCGTATTTCATTAAAAGACTTTCAACTTTATTTTTATTAAAAACTAAGTCCAATTTCGTATCACTTTTAAATTCATTATCTGTTTGTTTGGAATTGATCAAAAAAGTTGAACATAAACTATCACGAAATTCGTCAAGAATTGTATGCCCAACTGCGCCTTTTACCAACGAATCAAATGTGATCTGGTTAATGACTTCAAATAACGAATGACTCAATGATTCCCATTTACAACGCAGCAATGAAATATTTTTCCACACTAGATTTTCCCTAAGCGTACAAAAAGTGGAAGGGTAAATGCTGAAGAAACCATAACGGTTATATTAACTAGATATAAATAATTTTAAAAAATTACACTGACAACATAGGGCCAGTGCCTAGTGAACATCTGAATACTTTATATGATTTTCTTCTTGATAATCTATTTGTACACTAAAAAGTACAACATACAACATTTTTATATACATTCTAAATACGTGGAGTATAATCAAGCTCTTACCACACATTATTTCAACAACTGCAATTTAGGTAAATCTTGTTTTCAAAATACAGAATAAAATTTCATATTAACTAATAAACAATCTATTAAGAAAGGTGAGAAAACTTGACAATGAATTACTGTATATCTACTAATGATCATTTCTACCGTGTTAGAGATCAATCAAGAAGAAAATTATCTAAGTTTTTAACAAACTAACAATGGGAATAATAAATAAGAACTTTCGTCTAAATTTGACCGAATAGTTTCACAGTATTTAGGCGCCGAGTTGATGTGAGACATTTAAGAGGAAAAATGTATTTGTAAAATCTCAGCGAAAGAATTTGAAGTGAATCCAACGTTTCGTCTGGCAAGTTTTTTTCAAGGAAGTATATCCTTGGATTTACTTCAAATTTTTTCTGAGACTTTACAAATATATTCTTCCTCTTTAAACTAATAATGGATTTAAAGAGTTTTAGTGTGTTTCTCAAAACTGTATCAAATAGGGAAGGTGGGGGAATGCTATTCTTAAAAACAACCTTCACAATCTTGAACAGTAAATCAATCTCTGAAAGTTCACAGAACGATGCGAAGGAGAACAGCAAATTAAGTATGTTGAAAGTCATCAATAAATAAAGATCTTATATAATTGGTAAGACAAAAAACCCATATTGTTAAGAAATAAGTAAATATACACATGGAGATATCAAACAAAAATGTAGTGAACTTCGATGGATAAGTTAGATAACTTCTGGAGAAATTATGCGAGGATGATAGACATAAAAAATAATCAGTGTGTCTTTTATCAAAATTGAGTTAGATTATCTAGAAGACGCAAGTTTTGGCTACATTCTAACTCCCATATGTATTCGTACCGATCTCTAAAAACAAGACAGACTCAACTACCTATTAGAAGACATAAAACAGATCATATTAAGAAAAGGTATATTCGCTAATGATGGCGTCGTATGACAATACCTATCACGATGAGTTGGAAATTTATAATAAGATGTGTATTAAGTTTGATTATCGGATATCTAAATGATGTACTTGCACAAAAAAACCTTGTTCATGATTGGTATCACAATTGTAATTCAAATAACTTGGCATTGCCAGATTCATCGGAATTACTCACAAATCTGTGGACTAGTAACCAAAATATAAAAAAATTCTAAATTTGACGAATTAAAAGAAGTAAAAACTTGCAATTTAAACGAATTAATGTGAATTATCTGGTGCCACGCATGATGTTAAATCACATTAACAAAAAATGTTTATAAAGTCGATTTCTCAGAGACTGTAATCGACCAGTTTTTTCAAAAATGTCTTTAAACATATCAAAATTTTAGCTTTCATACATGGGTAAAGTACTGTCCATAGAATGTACCAAACGATCGGAATTTTCGATGTCAGAATGTACGGGATGAATTGATTCAATTTGTCCGGTGGCAGCAATTGAGGCTGCAATAATGGAAGGACAGTAATTTACTAAAGCATACCAAGCACGTGAAATAAGTATACCACATGATGGATGAACTTTTAAAGGCACTGATATACTTTTGCAATCATTTTCAAAAGATTGGCTTCCATAAGCTTTATTTGTCATCCAGTATTCTAACCTAGGGGAAAGTGAAGATTGTAAGGTGTGAATTCCTTCGTTTAAAATAAAACTGAATTAAATTGAGGGAAGCAAATTATCCTTATTTGTCAAATAATAAACATGCCAGTTGTTCAGAAATATTAACTTACATAAATTGAGTGTGTGGACAATAGATATAGTCATGGTTAAGCTACTCGAACACAATTGACTTGTAATGAAGTGTATACTGGTACATCGCAAAACCGAGAAAATTATTTGTAACAAATGGTGTTATGGTCAACTACTAAATTCGTAAAATGTTATGATAAATACACTTCAGCACAAACATTTAATGAATATTACTATAATTTAAAATTACGTCGCATTCTTCAACACTAGGTAACACAACAATAATAAGGATGGAAGAAGTACTACATGATGACAGTGAGATTTTTCAGATCGTAAGACGCTATATATGATAACTATACAATTTAGGCTGAACGAGATAAGGTTTATTTGCTTGAAGTGGTGACCGATTGTACTTACTTACTTACTTACTTACGCCTGTTACTCCTCGTGAAGGAGCATAGGCCACTCACCAGCATTCTCCATTCAACCCTGTCCTGGGCAATCCTTTCTAGCTCCGTTCAGTTGTCATTCATCGTTTTCATATCTGCTTCTATTATCCGACGCAATGTGTTCTTTGGCCTTCCTCTTTTTCGCTTTCCTTCAGGATTCCAAGTTAGGGCTTGCCTCGTGATACAGTTTGACGATTTGCGTAATGTATGTCCTATCCATTTCCATCGTCTTTTCCTAATTTCTTCTTCAGCTGGAAGTTGGTTTGTTCTCTCCCACAGAAGGCTATTGCTGATGGTATCTGGCCAATGGATGTTGAGTATCTTGGGTAGACAGCTATTTATAAATACTTGAACTTTCTTGATTGTGGTTGCTGTAGTTCTCCAAGTTTCAGCTCCATACAGTAGAACTGCCTTGACGTTCGTATTGAAGATTCTCACTTTGTTATTGGTTGAAAGTTGTTTTGAGTTCCATATGTTCTTCAATTGTAGGAATGCGACCCTTGCTTTGCCGATCTTCGACTTTACGTCTGCATCTGAACCTCCTTGTTCATCGATGATGCTTCTCAGGTATGTGAAGGACTCTACATCTTCCAGAGTTTCGCCATCAAGAGTGATTGGATTGCTGTTTTCCGCTTTGAATTTGAGGACCTTGGTTTTCCCTTTGTGTATGCTGAGGCCTACTGATGCAGAGACTGCTGCTACACTAACTGTCTTCATCTGCATCTGTTCGTGTGTACGTGAAAGGAGGGCTAGGTCATCTGCGAAGTCCAAATCGTCTAATTGATTCTGAGCTGTCCATTGTATTCCGTGTTTTCTTTCAGATGTCGAGGTCTTCATAATCCAGTCGACCACCAGAAGAAAGAGGAAGGGAGAGAGTAAACAGCCTTGTCTGACTCCGGTCCTTACTTGGAATGCATCTGTCAGCTGTCCTCCATGCACTACTTTGCACTGTAGTTCGTCGTATGAGTTCCGGATAATATTGACAATCTTCTCAGGAACTCCGTAGTGTCGAAGAAGTTTCCATAATGTCCTCCTATCTACACTGTCAAATGCCTTTTCATAATCAATGAAGTTGATGTATAGTGATGAGTTCCACTCAACTGATTGTTCGACGATGATCCGTAGTGTCGCAATTTGGTCTGTGCACAACCGATCCTTACGGAATCCAGCTTGTTGATCTCGAAGTTGAACGTCTACTGCATCCTTCATCCTGTTCAGCAACACTCTGTTGAAGACTTTCCCTGCTACTGACAGTAGTGTAATGCCTCTGTAGTTTTCACATTTGCTCAGATCTCCTTTCTTTGGAATCTTGAAGAGGTGTCCTTCTTTCCAGTCCATCGGCACTTGTTCCTCCTCCCAAATCTTTTTGAATAGAAGGTAAAGCATGTTTGTGGTTGCTTCGATGTCTGATTTCAGTGCTTCAGCTGGTATGTTGTCGGGTCCTGCTGCTTTCCCGTTCTTGATTTGTCTGACGGCCATTCTAATTTCTTGCGTAGTTGGTGGATTGACATCTATAGGAAGATCTATGTGTGCTGCTTCGATGTCCGGTGGATTCATTGGAGCCGGCCTATTCAGGAGTTCCTCGAAGTATTCTACCCATCTGTTTCGCTGTTGTTGAATTTCAGTTATTGGCTTACCTTATTTGTCCTTGACCGGTCTCTCTGGTTTACTGTATTTTCCTGATAGTTTCTTCGTTGTATCGTAAAGCTGTTTCATATTTCCTTCTCTAGCAGCTTTTTCTGCCGTCGTTGCTAGTTCTTCCACGTATTTCTTCTTGTCGGCTCTAATTTCAGGAGTCACGGATGAATAACTAATGAGTTCCAGAAAAGTACTATTTGAACTTAGACAAATTTTCCTATGATTTTGGACTGTGAAGACAATTATTAAAAAATTACTCACTAATAACTAATGGAATTCAGTAACCGAGTACAAGTACGTGGTATCTGAATATGCTTAGTAGGCAATGGTTGGCGACATTACAAGGTTATTTAAACTAAGAAAAGTAAAACAGGGTTAAAACCAGAAAACCATTGTTCGGACTAATTGAAAACCAAGAGAATCGGAAATAATCCTTACTGTTTCATTGATTTCTGTAACGCCGTAAATACGAGCGACCAGATGTTGAAAGCATCCTGACCAACATTCAAAGTTAACTTGATGATATGATTTGAAATAGCTATGTTTAACTTTTCACATAAGCTGAAAGGGTAGGAATAAGTCATACATACCTAGTGAGATAATTAGCGACCAACAATAACTTTAAATTTGTAGGTGTCATTAAAACGGTTTGACTAGACAATTTCAAATAACCAGTTTAATAACAATTAACTTGAAACCATATTGAACTAAGACATTTATACAAACCTGGAAACATAACTTGTTATAAAAATCTATTTTTGCGTGGCTATATCATTAAACCGACTAACTGCTACCAAAAATAACAAGATTACGTTATGCGTTTACGCTTACGATAAAATGCTTACGGTGGTGTACCCGATTACGAAGCTGGTGTAAAAGTTATGTCAGAGTGGGGCAAATATAAACATCAGCTGCTCGTGAAGAAACTGCATGTGCATTATTAACAATTAACTTCTTAAGTACTAAGATGAACATCTGACAAATACCTAGGACTGAAAATGATTCTGAACACTATCTTTGATGAGCCCCACTGTGTTTAAGACATGGTCTTTGTAACACTACATGTTTTTAAATCGCTCATATCGATATTCAGCAACCTTACAAAAAGCTTTTGTTTGCTTTTGGTCACGATGGACGGTCCTAGGCTATGTAATCTTTTTGCAGTAGTATTCTTGGAAACGAAACTGAAGTACATACAAATACAACACCATATAATTTTTAGTTGTGGTGTTTCCGAAATATGGAGAATGGGTAGCATATTAATACGAATTAAATCACTTATGAGGGGTTATTTGATTTACGGGTTGTTGAACTTCATGTGATGCACATGAGAATGAAAGGATGCGCCAGTAACATTAAATTGTAGCACTGAAAATACTGTACTCATTATCATACATCAACCTTTCATAGGAATTCACAGACACAATTTATAAACAAGTCATGACACCAACATTTCTGACGATTAAAACAAGATGAATGGTTAGCCGGTAAGATTATGTAATCGGATAAATCGGTGTCGTTTTTGATCCTGACGTAACATATAATTGTGGATTTGGTAAAATCTATTATGTGCCAGTTTGCTGTGGACTATGTTGGTGTCAATTATGGTATATGAAAAAAGAAAACATGCACAGGCTGCATGTCTTCAATCATAAGTGTGTTCGAAGCACTACTCATGCATCGTCAAATAATCAAGTGATGCAAGAATACCAAATCGGTTGGTAAGATTATGAATCTTCTTCGATCAGAGTGTCTGGAATATGTCACGCACGTCCAATCACTGTCCACTTAGGCATGCTTTATTAGTTCGAATAGGAATAGGTCGGAAAAACACTAGGAATAGACCAAAACATAGTGACAGTCCATGAATTTATTGACTGTTATATTGATCCATGTTGAAAGGTGTAGACTATCAAATTGGGGTTCCCACAATAACTAGGATGAGCGATTGGAGACTGGTTGACATGGCTCAACATCCATCACTGTGGTGAGAATGAGTTCACTCTTATCACCTCATAAATCTTGAGCTCCGATGTCATTTCGTGCATTTTACTCCTCGTATCTATTCCTTTCCGAACAGTGTTCTCCAATATTTGATTTCGATTACTATCTTTGATACTACTATTGTTTCAACTCTAATTTCGTCTTACGGCAGGGATATGGTACGGAACTTTGTACTGACTGATTACGGAAGTCTACAATATATGTTACATTTTCTTCCAAACTCATCACACAAAAGTACTTAGATTTTCATGAGCAAAATTGCTCAACTTGAAACATAAATCCAGTATTCACTGAATTAGTCATAAAAACCTCACTAATTATATGTGAACTTCTACAGGAAATATGTGAGTAAGATAACACCCACAAAACTAACTTACGCTAACAATTCAGGTGATAAAACCTGAAGCTGTTTTTGTAAATCTGTATATCCATTTAATATTATCCCAGGTAGTGACGGGACATTTTCATTGACTAATCGTTGCAAAAAGACTAACAGTTGAGCTGATGATGTGAAGTCATGTTCATGTTCATTTTCAATCAAAGCAAATGAGTCAGGAATCGGAGAATGTAAAAGACAACAAAATACAGCCAAGCCTACATTATTGGAATTTACCAAATGAGACATAACTTTACTATTCCAGGCACTGACCGATGATGCTGATGTTTCTTCAGATTTGGACTTTTCACAGGAAAATAAATCTGGCACAACGGACGAATCATTTATATTAATATCTCTTAGGCAGTCTGACCAAACGAAATTAGCCCAGTCAAACTGACTATTTTCTATGGGACTGTTGAAAAAGGGCTACGAAGGCGAAATGAGAAAACGTGAAAGTAGACGTGAGTTAGGATCGGATATATAAATATATATTTTTTCAAACGATAAGATGTTCAGTGAGTATTAAAACTTCAGGAATTCACTGCTTGATTTGAATTTATCGTGATCTTAAAAATGGCTACAACCTTACATATAACAGCAGGTGAGAACCATATTAGTAACCAGCTATAGAGAAAATATTAAGATTTATGTGAAAAGCTACGTAGTGAAGAAACGGATTGAGCTAAGAAGAGAGCCAGTGGGACTCCAGATGTATGGAGCTTTAATCGGGTTGGTGGAAATGGACGGTTCAGCTAGGGGAGTTGGAAAACCTAGATTCCAAACCAATGGCGTATATAAGCTCCAGGATCCTGGAGGAAAAAGTGGCGTCTGAACCAATTTTTGGTCACCGGCTACCATGGTACTGCGTCTCCTGATCTTGCTCCACTGCCTTGTGAATGAGACCTTTAGTTCAAAGGTTCGGAGTGTGGACCCCCAAGAAAACCACCTGCTTCGGTTTGGGCACCCGGGAGATATCCCAGCCCTCACACAAATCGAATGATGAAGTAGTATTACAAATAGGATCCCTAAAATAATAGCTACTAAAGGTATTTACTACTTATACAGAAACTATTTAAATGATGGGGAAAGTTTGTTGTGGAATATTACGACACGTTATATGAAGTAATGCAAATTATGAATGGGATTCCCATAGATGTAAACTCAGATTACAATTGCATTTCGTTCTGTTGAGTGGTGGTTTATTAATAAGGACGTTCAGCTTTCCATCACTAAGTCCCATATTTGGAAACCCACCTACCTGCTTCGGTTTGAGCAACCGGGAATAATCACTATTCAAAACATCTTAAGTATTGCTCTTACCCAAGTGTCTGGTCAACGAATGAGTTGACTATATCGCTAGAGTTCAGTAAGTTCTTACCGACACAAGCGGATTAGTCACGTGTCGAAACTTCATACATAGCCAAGGTTATCTCATGAAGTGGAAATTTGAAGTATGAACTATGTCATAATCTATCGACGCAATCACCTATTTTCGAATTGGCACCTAGGTAATAGTATATTACATCTATTTTATTTATTTGTTTATTTAAACACATAAACACTAATACAAAGAGGGACCAAAAACATACATGTGGCACACAATAAGTATCAGATTGTGAAGAGATAGAGAAACGATGAGTATAATAAAAAAGAACAACAGTGAATAGAAATTAATGCATGAGGGTGAAACAATAATAATAATAATAATAATAATAATAATAATAATAATAATAATAATAATAATAGGAGCAGTTCAGTTAGGCAAAATACAACCACACAGAGGATTCAATTAGGGAGTTCCTCTTACTTATATGAAGAAAGTAAGAGCTACAGAATGATCGCTACTGGATTCTACTCTGAACACCGTGTCGCATCGCCTCAAGGACTTTGAACAGAATCGTGAAGAAACAACGGATGCCGGTCCTATACAGCTTTCTTTCGTACCCCAGTACTACGTCAAAAACCAACAACACCTTCGCATTTTCCAATCAGTCCTTGCGTCAGCAAATAATACACGATGTGGAATTTGCTGAGACAAAATTCGTAGCACATGTACAATTCACCGAAGTCAGTGATTCGAAAATGGTCACATCAAATGAGTTATCATCGCTGTGCCAAAATACACGTTGATGAACCTCTGCGCTACTAACATGGCGTGTCACTGGATGTCAGCAAACTTCCAAAGACAACGACGATCAAACACAGAGTCGTTTAACATCCTCAACTTCGAGATCAGGTTTCATAACCATACCATATAATTGCTCTCATCGACGCATTACAGATCCAACCCTTTACAGTCACACTAACATCATAAATGGCCCAAATTGGCATAAACTGCTCTGGCCTTCCCTATACGTGAACTGATTTCGTCATTCATGTCACTACCAGCATTTATTATTTTATTTATTTAAACACATAAACATTGATACAAGGAGGCACCAAGTAGATATGCGCCACATAAATCATTCGATTTGTGTGAGGGCTATGATACTGCCCGGGTGCCCAGACCGAAGCAGGTACCAGCATTTATGCAGCTACCCAGATACATGAACTCGACTACTTCTATCTGTTCCCTACCAAGAGTGAACTCAAGTTCAGGATTCTCCCAGTCCTGTACAAGTACTATGCACTTAGAAGATGGAAAGTACACGCTATACATACGGACACTGATTATGTGCAGATTGCATGACTTGGGTATCATCGTACAGCAAGATAATATCATCCGCATACTCAAGATAGAAAAGTCTTTCTCCAGATAACAACCACATCACAATTATCTACACCCATCATGGGTGCATCTTAAACGTCATCCATGGGAAATTGGAAAGGAATGATGAGATTCGGTAACCCTGTCTAACCCTACTGCTTGAATACACAATGGAGAGGTGGTTGTATGCTTTCATTCTCTTTGAAGTGTTTGCATATAGGACCTTAAAGATGTTAATACTCTTCTCAGGTACACCCTTCTTCAACAGACAATCTTAGAGAACAGTTTAGTTCAATGGATCGAAGGCGACCCTGATGTCGAAGAACACAATGATTGTTGACCTGAGATAAGTTTGGCGGCGTTCTGACATTTAACAGGGGGTGAAGATATGATAAATATATCTTCGAGCAGATCGAAATCTAGCCTGCTTCTTGCGCAAACAAGGGTATGATCAGTCTTGTACACAACCACGCCAACTGAACGTGATGTGATCAATCTGAGTCCAGGCTTGAATGCAGAGTTAGGACACCAGGTGGTACATCGGCGATTACTGTACCGGCAGTTAGTCCTAATCAGAAACAGTCTGTAGTCTGTGCAAAGTTCCAGTAGACGCTCACCGTTATCTGACCTGCAACCGACGAGTTCCCATTGGCTACTTAAACGGATCCGCTCGGTCTCTAGACGCCCGATCTGCACATTCGAATCTCCGGCTAGTACCACAATATCTGTTGGACGCACTTTCCAGAGACCACTTAACTGGTGGTAGGACTCATCCTTGATAGAATCCAGGCAATTTGTTGGGGCATAGGCAGAGATCAAGAAAAGTCATCGTTTCCCATACCGATTTCTTCTCAATTTGTGTTGGGATATTCAGGAAAATATCCCAAAAATTATCCTGTTAAGCCTAGTGCTATCCTTGGACATGAAATAGTATCATCTTATTGGTCAGTATTTATTTAACGTGTCATTTTCCTACTGGCCATTATTGTACAATGTTATCTTCTATTTTATGGTACGTTGTGGACTGCTTGAATGGTATATAAACAAGTATGTTTGAAATATAATGATTCATAAATCCGAGGCTGAGACTTGTGTTCTGGACTCAATTGACTGGGCTAGACAGGGAAGCGAGACCAATCAGAACCCTAGGTCGTTCTACGTGTTTGTGCGTCTTTGGTCCGATCAATAATTCGCTATCCCTTCAGCAGCATTATTTTCACGTTATAACAATTTGATGAGGCATTCTTACTTAGTAGTAAATAATCGACCGTTGATTGGGACCCAATAGATTAGTCCTGCTTATATTCTGGTGCTTAGTGCAACGCCAACGCTACAAAAACCGGACGAAGACGTCACAGGGTCCCTGGATAACCACACACGAAACAAGCTTTTGAAGCAACAGATAGAGAGCCAATTTATAGTTTTTCACTAGAGTCCTGAATGGGAATAGGAACGAGAGTATTTTGTTCGGCTGTAGTCACCATCAAACGTTTCTGTTATGTTCGTTAAACTTGAATGCTACTGCCGATTCGTCTTACTCGGAACGCAACGAAGAATCAAGGATTCAGACTCGATAGGCTATACTGGTCCGTTGTCCCCGACTCAGCTAACTCGATCCAGAAGTCTTGGTAAAATGTAGAAAGTGTATTCTACAGACAATCAGAAGATACCAGGTTCATCAAGCACACAAATCGAGCGTATTTATACAAAATATATATAATCACTGTTGTCATGGAAGTTTTTAAACATTTAATCGATAAGTTCGTTAATCGACTGCCATTGAAATATTTAAACATTTAATCGATAAGTTTGTCAATCGACTATGTGCGTGGGTGGTAAGAAATGCCCAAGCATACATCTGCATACAAGCTCCACAAAGATAAGATTACAAAATATGAGTTTTGGGGATCTAACGTCCCCATCAGTTCCGTAAACTGTGATACTTCCCAAGTACCCAGACAGAATCAAAGGGTTGTCTTAGAAGGACACTCTTCAGGTCTTTGATCTAGAGGTCTAATCAAAAAGGAAGGGCAGCAAGGTCAGGAGATATGATCCCATGGTACTTGGTGACTAAAAATAGGTTCATATACCATTTGATCCCTCAATACCCTGGGGTCTATTTGCACTATTGACTTGAAACCAAGGTTTTCCAACACACACACATATGGATCCTCCGTATCCGCCAACCCGGTTTAAACGACAGACATTGGTTTTTCGTTCACCCACTACCACTAACAGCCGTCCTGCCGCGAAGATGCAGAAAGCAGTGTGCATTGGGACAGTCTTATAATATGCTTTATTATCTTACTCAGTCGACATAAATTTTTGATAAATGTTTAAGAACATGGAGTGGTTTTATTGCTACTAGGGGACTTTCTGTTAAAACGGAACGAATTTTGTATGATTTGAGAATGAGGATAGAAGCTAGTATACGTTTTTTTAGTTATAGCCATTGCCAACTTTCTGTGAAGCCAGGAATACTACACGGATGATCATACCGAAGCAGGTTAAACATCCTGACCTCACATTAGTTGTAAATAAGTATCTCGCCAATAAGAAACGTTTATCACTGAATTAGGGAATGGAACTAGATTTTCACCGAAAAAATTATTATTGAGATTTCTGCGGCTAGATTGGCTTAGGGCTATAAAATAAACAGAAATCCAGTTTGGGTAAATTTCTGTCAATCTTCATGGACGCGATCATTTAAAAAATCATCGAAAACGTCACGTACATTTCCACAATTTAATTAGTCACTTCTTGTAAAATAAGCATCTAGTAAATGACATTACCTAAATATGATGAATACTGCTACCCATTTGCTTCGTTAACTAGTACTTTACCATATTAAGCATGGTACAAATGTCACAATCATGAAGAAATATATATTGTACTATGTACATTTCTAAGTTCCAGTTAGGGTTCAGCACCAAGTTAAATATGTAGTTTGTATGACGTAATTACTGGTAAATAAACTCACTTTTTTAGACGATAGCATTTTCGACAAGTTATCCTCACTCTTTAATTTCGAATCACGGACTAAAATTTGATCGAATTGGTCAATCCATTCATTGAAACTGCTCTCAAAACTCTCCGTGAATAGCACCTGTAAAAAACATCAATAAGATTTTTAGGTTGGGTAAATAATTATGTATGTAAGTTTATTTTACGAATGAAGTATTGAATCAAAATAGAAAAGCGAACTTAAGTATAAAAATGCAAACTTTGGTTCTACAAGACTAAAGTGTTTACAAATTTAAGGTGATGAGAATAAATACGACTGATTACAAAGAACATAAATAAATAGAGATATTAATTCAATGATTATATTCTTACACAGACATTTGGGCAGATACCTATTCCAATGTGGGATAACCGAAAGTAACCAAAGTAATTGTTACTCAAGCCGTTTGTGAGTAACGTCATCACTTGTGACACTGTTGCATTGCTTATGAAATGACTCATTAGTGTAAATATTTACAGTCAAGGATATAGATATGGGATAAATATTGATACAATGAGCCCATCAGAAGTAGCTCAATGAGGTCTGTCGATAGCAATCAAAAGTGACATGAAGGTGATGTGAATTTTATTGTCTGAGAAACGGATCGATTTTCTAAGGATTAGAGTGGTGTACATATGAATGAGTATTTGTGCATTTTATCCGGCAACCCAATATGCTTTTCCGATTACTCTTGAGTTCTCGTCCAAATAGTCAGTCGAGGGGGTGTTAGAGCGTAACACACCGTGTATCAGTATCAGATTTCGTACACCACCCGTCATAATATATTCCCATAAATTTAGTTTCAGATGACAGAAATTTTAATTTCAAACTAGACGCCATTAACAATATAGATTTAAAGATGTCATAATGACAACAGTGTCAATCTAGGAATTAAGATGATTATCATTCAAAACTATCTTGCACAGAACATCACATCAAACGCGTTTAAATATTAACTAGTTGAAACAAAACAAAAACATGAACTGTACCCAATTTTACCATGATCGTTTAACTAGAAAATATAATCAAGACTAGATAAAATTTAACAGAACTACCTCTAATCTTTGTAGGAATAAACCACGCAGTAATTCTATCCAAATATCAAATTTGATTGGTCTTGTATCACAATTCTTTGCACCATTTTTAAAACTGAAGGTTTGTAGTCGTTGTACAAGAACTAGTGCAGTTGTACGGAGATCAACCAGTGTTTCAAAACTAGACACATGGCTTAATGATTCTGACAGAACTTCTCGGCATATTTGAATAGAGCTATTAGTAAGTAGTCAAATCACAAATTTAATAAATGTGGTTAGATACCACTGCGATGAAAACCATGTTATTACTTTACATTTTTCATTATTATTGATATCCATTGCTCTCCCTCTAGATGGCGATTGAAAATTTATTTGAAATGAGATAGATAACTTAAGAATTGATAGTGAACTGCACAGTTCACATCAGAATTACTTAGTGCGTTTGTTACTTTGTGATGCTTACGTTAGCCGGGTCAAAACCTGAAACCTTTTAACTAGGTGCTTTTTAATCGAAACAAAGTTAACACTGGTAATTAAAAATCCACATAATTGTGGGATGTTACCAGTTCACTAAAAGTGAGTTGTAATGATAAGACAGAATATGAGGCTAAAGATACAGGATGTGTTATCAACATTTCGATATCTCATGACGGTAAACCACATTACAGATTAATTAGCTAAGCAAACTATTTTGAGTGAAAAACATGGTCATTACTTTCGTTTGGTTGAATTACTACAATTTTTGTGATTTTCCTGTGTAGCGATGCATTCAAAGATAATACTAATGAAAACTAATACCATGAAATACACACTTTTAAAAATTTGGCTAAATAGTAAGCAACAGCATCGAACTTTTTATCTTCGCAAATTTTTGAGTTCGGTTGAGAAAATCAAAAACATATGTCTATTACTATCTGCAAAAGTAAATTTTCTGTGTTCATTCTCATGCAACTGAAACTAAGGGATACCACATCCTTAAGCAAAATACTGAATAATAATCAATCTGATAACATTAGGTTTCAAATTATACTCCCTTGCTTCCTCAACTTTACTTTGCTAAAGTCTACCACAATTTTATGCTAAATTTCTCTGATTTTAATTGGGGCGAGAACAGTATTCTCAGTCATTATCGTTATTTCATTTTATTTGTGTGTGGGCTGTGATACTCCCTGGGTGCCCAAACCAAAGCAGGTGGTTTTCTTAGGGGGCCACACCCGGAGACTTTGACTTAAAGGTTTAATACACAAAGCAGTGGAACAACATCAGGAAATGCAGTACCATGGTAGCTGGTGACCAACGATTGGTTCATACGCCATTTGTTCCCGCAGGATCCTGGAGCTTATGGACACCATTGGTTTGGAATCAGGGTTTTCCAACTCCCCTAGGTGGACTCTCCATGTCCACCAACCCGGTTAAAGCGCCGGACATCTGCTTTTTGTTCTCTCATTTTCGTAAACAACACCCCCGCCACGAGAAGGTAGTGAGTAGGACTTCCCCGGCAGAGGATATATACGCGTGGCCATGTGAGAGCATTTCGAGAGAGAGAGAGGACTCTCCCCACTCTCGGCCGTACTAGGGCATTCGAGGGTGTTGTTGGCAAAGGGAACTCGAACCCAGGACATTCGGACTCGTACACAAATACCCAGCCTCTAGACGTTATCAGATATGGCTCAGAACAGAAGCCAGTGGCGATCCTGTTGTAACTTTATTTTACATTCTTCATAAAAATGGATGTAACTTCTTTAACTGGAAGAATTCTTTCTGGTTGAAGATTTGCTAACTGGACCACCCCTACCACTATTATTATTTCACTATCATACACTAATTTTTGTTCGTTATTGTTCCCCTTTTTCTCATACGCACCTTACATTCTTTATCACTTCACATTCTTATTGCTATTGTGTGGTGCATATGTATCTGGTGCCTCTTTGTACCAATATTTATGTTCAAATAAATAAACAAATAAATAAATAATTTCTCTGATACTCAAATAGTTGGTAACGATTTTCTACAACATAAAAACTTCCAGTCCACTACTTTTAAGTTTCGAAAGCGATAAATGCATTGTTTCTTCTGACCAGTCTTGTCGTAAAGAGTAATTAAAACATGTTCTGTTGACTTACTTAGACATCTATAAAAAATCAAATGTAAACGTCATCTCAGTGTGCTGTGGTGTAGGAAATGGAAAGAACATTTTTGTTAGATCGTTCACTACCTGTAACTGAGTGGCCAACCTAATTCTAAATTTGGAAAATTCAGTACCAATTGTTTAGCTTTGTTTCAGTAGTTAACCTACGAGTTGTTTAGCAATGGTCATAAAGTTGCTAAAGTTAACGAGTTCAAAATAAACTCACTCATCTCGCCAAGCATCCCAAAGTTTACGTAGTAAGTCTATCAGCAAGTTATATTGTTTATCCTGCTTAAAATTAGAAAATTCGTCTGAAAATTTAAAATCCTTCAGTTTGAAATCCAGTACATCGCTCGGTAAATGTGTGTAAAGACGATCTCTGGAGAAGATGGGTGAATCTAAAATAATAGAAAGTCTTGTGATGACGAAATAGAGAAACTTACAAAGGCATTACAATTTGTGGAGAAGTTTGTCAATACTGACTGAGGTTAAATAAGTTTGACGCTGAAAACGAGTAGGACCAAATTTATTGACTCACCTTGGACATCCATACATTTGTCTTAACGAAAACTATGACCGGATCTAACATTCTCAATGCACTACAACAACTGTAATACACTCTATTTATTGCACTAATTATGATTAATGTAACAATCTTTAGTAATACATTGTGATACTTTCGATGAAACAAAGCACGACCTACAAAGTTAAGCATAAGAAATTGGCTCAGGACAAAGCTTAGAAGCTTAAATACTGTCTGCTACTTAGATTTTAACCCCACTAATCAGAACTAGTGGAGTTTGTAATCTCCCTTTGACTGATTACATTACTAAAGGTATATACTGTACGAAAATAATTATCACTAATTTTAGTACATGTCCTAAAAATGAGATAATTTTCGTCATATAACCTCGAAATCCTGAATGATAAAGCGAAGAACCGTTGACTTGCAGAAACAGTCGGTTGGTCATTTTCAACAGTTTCATTTTCACTATATTAAGCCCTAATGTAACACAAAACATCCAAATTTTTATCGTTTAAAACAGGGTTGAGCAAAGTAGACAACATGAGACACTAACTACAAGTTTTAATTTATAACGTTCCACAAGAAAGCAATACCTTGGAATGTCCAATCCACAAACCATTTAATCCGAGAATCGAGAGCTCCTTTACATGTAGATCCTTCACCGCTAGTATTCGGCAAAAATAGGAACTCAAGATACTCCAAAGTTGACAAAATATGTCTAACAACCAGTAAAAGTTGTTTGCGAATTGATAGGATAAAATTAGGTCTTAGTCTTATTATCCCATCGTGTGGTGAATAATCTCTACCAAGAAGGCAATATAATCCAACCTTGAACAAAACAGTAAAAAAGGAACATTTAAGAAGACATAATAAGGCATCCTATAAATATTTTAGGACAAAGTAATCTAAGACATTTTAAAAACTTAGTTTTGTCTCATAACTATTCTATTAGGAAATCGTATAAAACAATTATTAAAGCACGTTTTGAAATGTGTTCATAACAAGGTATATAATAAGGAGAAAACGGTGGGATAATTGTGTAAGTAAAGATTTGAATGCCATCTTCGTAGAGAGAAATTGCATTTTGTGTGCGACTTGACCAAAGTTACATACATAGCGAGAACCAATCCACCTGAAAGAGTAACCTGTAAACTAAAGTGCTCCTGAAGATGAGTAGCAAATAATACTATCAGGCTATATGAGTTATGGAGTATTATGTCCCTTTGCATGACATGAAAACGGGAATCAATTTGTAGTAATGCTCTTATGTTCTACATAACATGAAAATGCAGTCTAGGGGATATTTGCTTATGGTAGACAAGCAGTTTTGGAAACGCCTATTCCGATTAATTTGTATCTTGAAAATCTTACCGTTGTAACCAAAACTCTGTGGGTCGAAAGAGGTACTAACTTCGAGACTGACCAATTCCAACTCATCCTTCAAGAACATCTCAATACTGTTAAACACCGGCACCAGAAGTATGATTTCGCTTCCTAATCAACCTTTAAAGTATGGGAAACCATTAGGAAATATGAACGTTATTACATACAGCCTGAAAGGGGCTATTATTATCAGGCTTAAACATATCACGGTTACAACACTGGCTGACTTGACAATAATGGCGACGGTGGGAAGACTTCCTAAACAAAATCGATATAAAACTAAATTATGAAATTAACTTAATGAAACGCCAAGTAAACAACAAACCAGTCAGTCATTCAAAAACAACGTACTACGTGGCACATGCGTGTACTAGCCCGTGTTTCCACAATATACGGCAGTATGGAGATCACGATTAAATCAAGAGTGTAAATAATTACACAGACAAGTTTTATTATTTATTTATTTGAACGCATAAATAATGGTACAAAAGGGCACCGAATACATATGCGCCACAAAAGTCACTTGATTTGTGTGTGGACTGCGATACCTCCCGGGTGCCCAGACCGAATCAGGCAGTTATCTTAGAAGCCATACTCGGAGCCTTCTACCCAAAGGGCTGACCCACAAGGCAGTGGAGCAACATTCGGACATGTACAAACAGAAGTGTAAAACTAAAAATAGGAATAAAAATCCAGAAGCGAATAGGTTGCAGGACGAACAGCTGAACAAGTAAACAAGCATCGGATATTAAAGCAATGTGAAAACGGTTTTCATCTGCGAACAAGTTGAATTCATTTTCGGATTTCAAACACTTAGGGAATTTCAATCAATCAAATCATTACCCTACAACTCTGTTTGAGTAAGAAAATCATGCTTGAGATTCGATTCTGAAACCCTAATGGAGGTTTATTAACAATGACATATTTCGTGTTGGACTGGGACCCAATATATTACCAGGATATCTCACATAATTAACACCACATATATTTCGATTTTTTATTTGGTTTTGGAGAGCCGGGTAATATAGGCAACCCTTGTACAGAGTGTAGGATTGAAAAATGACTAACAAAATATGTATGTGGCACATCTGTTATTGAACTTCCATATAAATATTACACCAACATAAAACAATGCACTTGTTCAAATCCCTCCATCAGTATGAGGGGTCAGTAAAATACCACAGGCTTTAAACAGGTAACTGTCAGTAATAAAAATATTGTTATATTACATTTTCGTGGTTCAGTGGTTATTTGCTACTATTATGGGGAAACTCACCTTTCTGCCATTGAAAAATTCTTCAAGCACCTGTAGGGTAGAAAGGTCACCAACCATTGACAGAGCAGCAAGAGAATCGCATAATTCCTGAAAACGTAAACTTTTATACATTTAAGCACTTCTTTAGTTGACGGAGGAGCAGATAATCGTTTGCGGAATGCTGAAATTACGGCTGCTTCCATATGGACCAAAGAGTCCCATGCCCGACTGACAAGAACACTTGCGTTTACATGTGACAACTGCCGCTCATGGCTAAAATTTAACCTAGCGTTCAGATGTCTGCCAAGAAAGAGCATTCTCGCAGACGAAGAGTGTCGTCCCAAATCCATATAATTCCAAATCTTTCAATATAATTTATTGTGCGAAACCTACCAATTCCGGTATGTCAAGCATCAACTTCAATTGAGAAGCCGTTGATAATTCGAGCGATTGTGTTTCAACGGAAGGACTACGATTAACAAACGGATAACTTACTCTTTTTTTGTTCCCATATCTCGACTCCAAGTTGTCAAGTATGACCTCAGCTGGTCTAATAAGATGGAAACCTAATGTTTATTGGGCACACAAAGTCCTCACTTCATTGGCAAGGTTCTTCATTAGTAGTATTCGATCAGAAGCATCAATAATATCTCGATGTCTTTCACCCACAAGGTGACGTAACTCATCTTTTTTATGTTCTACTTCAGCTCTGAAAAGTAAGAAATCTGGGTGAAAAAACTACCTTTTCTGACGAACTATACGGTGTAGCTCATCTATAGTATGTCCAGTAAGTAACTCCGTTACCGCTTCAACCCGCTCAGTTCCCATTGTTTAAACTGTAGCGCATGTAGCTAATGTGCCGCTCCCATGTTTCAAATGGTTCAAATGGTTGTGGACGGAATAGAAGAAGCTTTCGCTTAACAGGCTTCCGTGTCTAGTAGCAGGGGATCACCAAACCCTCCAGGCAGGAACCTAGGTATGTTAACAATAAAACAGGAGAAGATATTAGTAAATCATAGTGCGATACTATCCTTAGTCCTTAAGAATAGTTCAAGTTGCCTCTTAAAGGACTCCTGAGAAGTCGCTTGGACTAGCTCTACCGGCAGCAAATTCCAGCATTTGACAACTCTTAAGGAGTAGAAGTTGTGTCTACAGTCCGTTCTGCTATGTTGTGTCCCCAGTTTTTGGGTGTTACCTCTTAGGTTAGTGTTGGAACTAAGCTTAAGTAGGTGTTTGAGGGAATGTCCAGAAGTGTTAAGGATACTATAAGCCATCAGAAGGTCACCTCTAAGACGTCTATACTCTAATGGGTAAAGGTTAAGTGAATGGAGGCGCTCTTCGTAAGGTTTGAATTTGAGTCCTCGAACTGATTTCGTGGCTCGCCGTTGGATACGCTCCAAAGTGACCTTGTCCTTTCGGAGTGAGGGGGAGTACTATGTTTCCGTACTCTAAATGGGGACGGATGAAACTATTGAAGATTGTGTGGAAAGTTCGTCCGTCAAACTGGCCAAAAATGCGCCTTAACGTTACCAGTGCAAGGTTTGCTCGGAAGGCATTTTTGTCACAGTTAGCGTAAGATTTTAAGTCATGGGGCACCAGGACTCCTAAATCTTTTTCGACTTGGGATACTACTAGAGAGGAGTTTCCTAAGTTGTAACTGTAGTTTGCGACATGTCGCAGATGGACTACTTTACACTTTGAAGTGTTAAAGGTAAGTCCGTTATCGTCTGCCCAACTTTGAAGTCGCGTCAGATCCTCCTGAAGTGCCTGTGTATCGTCTTGGTTGCGTATCTCTTTCCAAAGTTTCACGTCGTCGGCAAAAAGTAGTAAGTCTGACATTACCTGTTGAGGAAGATCATTTATGTAGATCAAAAAGAGAAGAGGCCCTAGTACTGATCCCTGGGGAAGCCCACTATGACATTCCATAGCCTGAGATAAAGTGAAATTAACCCCAAGCTTAAAGTGTCGATTTTTTAGGTATGAAGTAAGCCAGTCGATTAGAGGTGGTTTGACACCTAGTCGTTTGAGCTTGTTGATAAGACACAAGTGGTTAACCTTATCAAAAGCTTTTGAGAAATCAAGGTAGATGATATCAACCTTCCCCTGCTTGTCCATCTGTCCACCGCAGTCAGCAGGTTGGTTATACAAGAGTAACCCTTCCTGAAACCATGCTGTTGGGGTGAGAAGAAATTTAAGGACAGTAGATAGTCGTTTAAACCGTCGCATATCAGGGACTCCATGAGTTTTGAAGGTAATGACAGAAGAGCCACCGGCCGATAACTTGAAGGTTCGCTGCGTCCACCTCCTTTGAAAATTGGTGTGATGTGAGCCAGCCTCCAATTTTATGGTAGTTTTCCTCGACTCAGCGAGTGTGAGAACAACACGCTAAGCGGTGTTGCCAAGATCGAGGCTGCTTCCCTCAGTATAGCGGAATGGACCATGTCCGGGCCAGGAGAAATGTCTAATCTTAAGTACTGCAGTTTCCGGAACATCATACCAGCGCTTGCGTTCACTTCGGAAAGTCCTGTGGAATTGCAAATGAAACTGTCATCAGTAAAGTTAATGTCGATCGGCTGAAATGTCTGTGAGTAATGTTCAGCCAGAATGTTAGCGGCGTCGCCATCATTGTTGGTCGGGCCGTTGAGACCTAGCAGTTGAGAAACTCCTGTTTTGGCTTGACGAAGAGAGGCTGCATAACGGAATAGGCTTCTAGGGTTAGAGGCGAATTTGTCCATAAGCTTTGTCTAGCACTGAAGCCTGTCTTCTCCTATAGCCTTCGTGCATATGTTCCTGATATGGTTATATTGCCTATACGCTCCATCGTTATTAGTTCGTTTGTATTCCGCCCAACAGTGCCTTTTTCGGCTTAGAAGGCGAAGGGTACGGTTCTTGAATATTGTAGGTGGCTTGCAGGTTTTGGGAACCGTTTGAGGAACTGAATGGATTGTAGCACATAAGAGCGTGTGCAGTAAGAAGTCCCAATGATCGTCCACATCGAGTTGGGGGTGAACATCCCGAACCACCTGTTGTAGATAGTCGTGTAGAGCTGGCACATTCAGCTGTTTAAAATTCCAACGCAAGTTATTGTTGGGGTATCGTAGCTAAGTTTTACTGACAAAACTGAAGGCTATGACGGCATGATCGCCCTTTCCCAGAGGAGCCAGGATTGAGAGGTTGTTGACTAGGAATTCTTCGTTTGTGAATACACAGTCTAAGCGCGATGGTGTCTGACTGTTTCTCCAACGAGTTGTCGACCTCACATTTTCATATAAGCCCAAGTTATCGATGAGGTTGAAGAACCGAGCTTCAATTGAGTTGTCGCCTCCAGTATACGTGTGTTCCGCGAAGTTGACTCTAGGGAGACTGAAATCCCCTAGAATCAGGATATGTGTGAAACCGAGACGAGTAGAGCGGGATAGTCCTTCCAGCATACGACTATCGTACTCGGTGTCGGCAGTTGGCTTCCTGTAAATGACTCCGACTAGACACCTCGAAGTACTTGACAATCTTACAGAACACCATATAGATTCCTCAAGATTGTTAAACTCAAGGTTATGAACTTGATGCACCTCCAAACAAGGACGTATGTAAACAACTACCCTGCCCCCATATCCTGATTCTCTGTCACTGCGGAACAAAGTCATCCCAGGTAATGCTAGCTCATGGTCCGAGAACTGAGAAGATATCCAGGTTTCAGATATTCCTGTCATGTGGGCCTTATTAGCATTGCTAAGTTCACGTAGTTCATCCATTTTGTTTGGCGGACTCGCGGCGTTCATATATAAGCAGTGTATGCTTTCAATTTGGAACGCGTGAGCTTCGTCCTGTTTGTCTGTATGAACCTTACGTGAACGGACAGGTAGCCCACCTATATAAGGTTTGCCGAGGTGGTAGGCCCTGTCCTTTACATGTTTTTTTTTACCGTTTAGACAGTCCACAAGTGGAATGGTCAGCTCCAACTTGCCTTTGTGTTTGGTCCTAGCTTCGTATGACCTATCCAGGTGCATGTGGATTCCAGGTGGCAGTCGACGTCTGTTGGTACGAAATGCTTCCAGAGTTGCAGCCGCTATATGGGAAGATAGGAGTGTTATCTTCATTAGACGGGGTCTAGAATCACCATCTTTCTTGGCTAGTCTCGTCACATGCTGAGTCAGTATGTTTTTGAGCCTCAAGGACTGTTTAATGAATTTCCAATCCCTGATGTCGGTCTTTGATTGAATAGGGTCCGTATTTTCCGATATACCTTGCACGATTATTTTCCTCCCGCGGAAAAACTGATCGCGAGATTCTTTGGGGATGTTCCGGATGAGATTGCGCTCAGAATACGGTATGTCAGGCAGTATTCTTACATTCTCATCTGATTTCAGTAAATGACTCGCTAGTAAGACATCCTCTACGTTGGTAGCATTCTTAAGTGTTACACGAAGTAGCCTCGGGTGATTTTGATGCTTAGATTCCTTTCCTCGAGTGAGCCGGGTGACCGTCAAAGGCTCTATTCTTGGAAGTTCAAGTTTCTTGTTCAATTCTCCCCAGAGCATCCTGTCATTTTTGTGCTGCAAACTGAGAGGAAGTTCAGGGTTGTCTTTGAAGTTCATGACTATGAGAGAGTCATCACGAACCGTTATTGTCGTCCCAGGATTTCCGGTGCGTTCAGGTTTAGCACCTAGTTGTTTGGGGGTCGAAGTACGTTTATGAATCCTTGGCTCTTTGATGACCGGACGGACAATCTTGGGGGTAGATTGTGCGACCAGATCACTAGTTGACTTCCGTTCAACAGCTGGGATGTTCAACTTAGAATGTGACGCCTGGCTCTTTTTATCTCTTTTGACATGGGTCCAATCACTTACAGAGTTTTTGGGAACCACTGTCGCGTTCAAGGACCTTGAGCTGTGAGACCAGAGTTTGCTGAGGGAGTCGAGTACCGTCGTCGTAATCATGGTGCTGAGTTTCAGTGTGTCACCAATAATGCTGTTGAATCCTCATGTAATCGCATACCCATAACAGCATTCAGAACTAGGGTTAGTAGGTCGTCTGATCTATGTTAATCTTTACAGTAAGTATCTATCTAGTTTCGTAGTTCCCTTTCGGAGGAGTTCACTGGTGAGACCAATGGTATCCCCAACATACAATATCTTTGCCAAAACTTATAACCTGATTGATTTCTTTGCTCTCGCTTGTTATTGTCTCAGTACGGCCCCAGGTATTTGGTAATGCTCAGTGGGTGGTGGTCTGGCCATTTAACTGGGTAAATTGTAGTCAGATTGGTAGTTATCTGTAGATTTGTATATCTTTTAATTCGAATGCATTCGTGCCACAGCAGCAGAACTTCTGGATGCCATCAGCTGTCGCATTACTAGGCAGCTGGTTGAAGAGAGGAACGGTAACCAGTATGTGAGCACATGTTTGTCAATTCACTTCTTGAAGCTATCTATTGATGGGACTGTTGTCACTTCAACTAGAAGAGCATTCCAGATGAGGACAACTCTTCATGAGAAAAAGCGGAAGCGTACCTAGATCTTCGCTCACTGATGTCGAATCTTTTGAAGGCTGCCTCGAAGAGCATAACGGTGATGTTCTGACAAGTTTTTTGTGTTGGAGTGATTTGGCATACTTGGTACTCTGTACGTTACTATGAGATTACCTCTTGTCCTCCGATAGTCTGACGGGAATGATCACAAGTGTTGTACTCTGTCTTTGTAGGATTTAAAATTCGACATCATCAACCACTTAATTACTCGTTTGTGTACTCGGTCTAAGAGATCTATGCCTTATGAAGAAAGGGAAGGCAACAACACTGAGGAATTCGAGAAGGGTCGTGAGTGTGATTCAAAAAGTCAGGAAAAATTCTGGAATAATTTTGCCAAAGTGTCTTT